CCAGGCATACAGGTGGCGCCCCTGCAGAGAACCCGCAGAGACCCTCACGGCCATGCTCCATAAAAGCTGCGGGCTGCGGGCCGTCCTGCACGGAGCGTGGCCGGGGTGTCCTGGGTCGTCTGCTGTGGTAAGTCGCCCCGAACGACAGCGAGCGGTGGGCTGGCGTGCGTGTGTTTCGGAAGTGAAGGGTCTTCTCGGTCTGGAGGGTACACGGACCCTCCTCCACCTCCTGAGGAGGCGGAAACCAGAGAGGCGCGGATGGGCGAGGGGGCTGCCCAGGGTGAGGGGGGGCCTTCCCCTTGTCCGTGGCGTTGGTGGAGCAAAGGGGCCGAGGCGGTGGCAGGTTGGGCGTCCCGGCTGCGACGCCGGGGGCACCGTAGTGCGTTACATGGGTCTGGGGGGTCACGGGTGGCCTCAGTCACTGCTCGAGAGGACCCCGGCCCTTGGCTAATGCGATTGGCTGGGAACGTGCAGCCCGCCCGGCACTTAGAGGCCGGTATGGAGGCCGCACCTGCTGCTCCGGCAGCCGCGGTGGAGACCGGCTTCGCCGAGACTCCCACAGCAGGGAGACGAGACGGACGGGTGGGAAAATTGGGAACACAGGATCCTGCCGACGACGAAGGGAAGGAGCCCATCCAGGCCTCCCCCAGCTGTGGCAAGATGTCGCATCTGGCACCCGCGAGAAAATCGGAACACGCCGATCCGGTCTTGTCTAGCGTGTGGAAGCGACGACCTCAGGGAAAGGAGTTTATTTCCTTGAAAGAAGGTTCAGAAACTGGTGTGCCGAGTGCCCGTCCGGTAATGGAGGAATTTCGGGGTGGAGACCAGGGTAGGGACAACGTTGCCCTCTAGGGTCTGCAGCTGGTCCTGCTGGTCCTGCTACAGACCGAACCAGCTCCGATAGGCATTGGAGCTGGATGCACACCTACCTGAAGAAACCCTTGAAATCTGGGGGAGAGAGAAGGCTTATCGATGGTTACAGGGGACAGATTAGCAAACTCCCGTTAGTCTCTACGGATCCGCGGGCTTCTTCCCCCCGTTTCCTGGCGCGTAGTTACCCCATCCCTGCGTACACGTGGGGGTAGACGTTCCGCAGGGTCTGGATCTAACCAGGGCAGGTGAACTCAGGTTGCGGACCCCGAGAGTCACCCTCGGTCTGCAGCGGCCGCGTCAGTATGGCGTGACGTCCGGAGGATGGCAGGTCGGTGCCGGCAAGAGCCCAGGGCGGGGTCATTCGGTTCATCGGATAAAAGTGATGCGGGATGCGGTCGCCGACACAGCATGAACCTTCCCGGTCCCGAAGATGAATTCCAGGCTCTTGTTAGGTTCCCGGAGGCCTTTTATTCCCCGGCCAGCGCAGGTGTTAAGACCTGTACGTGGCTTGGTTCGGAAGCCGATGGGGCTGGGTGCCATCCAAGAGGCTTTCTCCCGGGTAAAAATGCTGGTGAAACAGGTACAGGCCCCGGGGGTGTGAGTGGTGAATTCCGTGTCAGTTCCTGCCCAGGAGGACGGGGCTGGGGCTTGTGGCAACAGAAGGAAATCGGTTCG